CAATAAAGCAAATCAAATCAATTTGTAGACACAATTACTGCATAAAGTCATAAAGACCAAAGCAATCAATTCTAATTACAACCTCTATACACAATCATAAAATACATCAGCAAAAACAGGTCTACATGCTAAACGTCTGTTCATTAATCACTAATACAAGGATTACAAACTAATACAACTCTGAACCTTAACCAGTAGTAGATGTACTTCTAATGATTACTTTCCAGGTGTTTTATGAGAATCCATCTACTTGTTCATTGGATATCTTGCTAACAGCAATCAGGGTTGATACCAACAGTTAAGGCTAAGATTTTAAGTAAAGATGTTGTGCACAAGTTGCACTTGAAGGATGCTCTGCTACTACCACTTCAAATTTTAGCYCATTGTCTGTAAAAATGGTGTGGACAAAAAAKTCAAAYACAGACAAAAACATTATCGCTCCACCCTCTGCCTTCAGAGGCAGATGGGTTCAGCTCAGCAAAACGATGTCTTCAGTCTACCACAAACAAAACTGAAACAAGAAACTGCGGAGAAACTGCTGCTAGAAGTGATTTGCTTCAAAATAACTTAGAGATGGGAAGGCAACTTGGAAATCACCGTCACTAGCAAATGCGTCTCTGCACTGTTTTTCTTTGGATTCGAAGCAGAACATTGGAGTTGATTAATCATCAAGACTGTTGTTTTTGTGTTGCACAAAAAAAGCCCACTTTGCCTCAGATATTCTGTCAAACTGAAAGCAAGAAACAGTGATTCAGTCATTCTTGTGAATTTGTGCTTACCAAGAAATTAATGACAGAGAACTAAAATGGCAAACAAAGCACTGAGCTCAAAAGAAAGCTTGCAGCTAAAACACTGACTTGATCAAAACGAGTAGCGTTTTGTGCTGGGACTGACTCTCAGCTTCATTTGCTGGCTCCAGATAGTTAATGGCAAAAATTTCAACAAAACTCTTAAAGGCTGTTTTGAGAATCAAGTTTCAGCTACTATTATACCAAATATTAGGTCATTACCTATAGAATGAAATARATTATAGCCATGGTTGTTGTTTTAAAATTCAATTTAAATATTCAATTGAGATTATTTAGAGCTCATGGCAGGTCTAAAATATACAATCAAATTCAAATTCGAACTAAAGTTAGTTGGTAGTGGCGGCCATGTCAGAGGATCATAGTTGAATGTATGCTTAATGGTTGCTTTCTGCAAGTTTCATTAAAGTTCATCTAATAGTTCATGATTTATTTTGTCAGCAGACAGATGCACAAACATGCTCACACACAGATATAAGCAAAACTACAATAACTATAATTCAAGCGATAAATAAAACATCTGCAAAAGCCTTGCTTGTGGTAGGGATTTGTCCCTGATGGAACCAAACATTCAGAAGCACAGGAAACAGTTTAGCTAATTATGTCATACTTTGTAAAGATATTAT